GTCTTCCACAGTGCAGCTCACCCAGGCGCCTCGCCCTTTGACGCCGCAGGAGGCAGCGCTACCACCAGTGCCGCCCCCCCCCTCACTCCTCCGCTGGCGGTGCGTCCCCGCCTGCGGGCCCTCCCCCCCCTCCTCTGAGGTCTGGCGCCGTGCCGGCACGCGCTGCGTGGCCCACAGTCGCTTGTTCCCCCCTTGCCTGTGGAGTGGTCTTTCGGGTGTTGGGTCGCCACGGAGTGGTTCAGCCTTCCGCGGCAGGACAGCGCCCGGGCTCCCACTAGCTTCCGGCCAGTGCGCCGCGCCAGTTCCGCGACAGCTGCTTGGCTTGCAGACGTCGTCGCGGGCGTTCGGGGTCTGGCGCCCCGCAGGCGACTCACTCCACCGGCCTCCCGCTTGCCTCCATTGCAGCAGGACCCCCCTGGCAGGCTGCGCAAGCGCTTCACCACTAGACGCCGGGGCTCCCCATGCTTGCGGATCTCTTCGCTTCAGGGATCGGCATCGCAGATGCGCCTTGGGCACAGCCGCATGCTTCCACTTGGCACTGGGAAGCGGATTGCTGAGGACTCGGCGCCGAGTGGTTCAGCCTGCAACGCCTGTACAACCCTTGGTTTTCCTTATGTTTCGCACACTCTGCCGCTTGTCCACCTCGGTTCACACTGCGGCGCCTGTGTGCGTTTGCTTGTGTATTTAGTTCATTTTGTTCTGTGCATGTGGAACTGCGCACTTGCTGTGCAGGTGCGAACTGGCTTGCCAGCGTGGCGGCTGTGTTCGCAAATTCGCATCGTGCCGCATGCCCCGGACTTTGCCTCTCGCCGCCTGACCGTTGTCGCGCGGCCGCGACCGAAAAACATACTCCCACCATGAAGTTTTGTTTGTTTGTTTGTTTGTTTGTTGTTGTTGTTGTTTTTTTGTGTGTGGTTTTTTTGCGTGGGCCGGCCGGCTTGCGGCGCGTCTTGTAGCTAATCAGCCTTGTTCGCTGCCCCGGACATTTGCTTTCGCCGCGTGTGCTCTTCGCTCGCGGCCGCGACCAAAAAGTATCCCCACCATCCCATCCAGAATTGATTGCCAGTTTTCTTGAGGCCTTTTGGAGGCTATCTTGAGCCATGCTCGGCTAGAGGCTGTCGGAGGTTATCTTGAGCCATGCTCTGCTATTTTGGGCCATCTTGAGGCTGCCTTGAGGCCTCTTGGAGGTCTGTCGGAGGCTATCTTGAGCTATGCTTCGTATCTTAGGCCATTTTGAAGACAATATGTGCGTATCTAGGGTTCTCTTGGAGCCATATTGGGCCAAACAGGGCGGGGTGGAGGGTCTTTGGGGAGAGGCCGGGAGGCCTCTTGGGGTCATCTTGGGCCCCTCTTGGGGCTGTTTGGGGGTCTGGGAGGCCTCTTGGGGCCGTCTTGGGCACCATGGCTCAAAAAGAAGGGGGGGAAATTCCCCCCCCCCCCCCCCCCTCCCCTTCGGAGGCTCTCAAATGGCATCTTGGGGCCCGCTTGGAGCGCTTTTGGGCGCCTCTTGGGGCTTCCAAAACCCATCGGAAAAGAAAAGGCGATAATGCCAAAGACATCTATTTCCCTAGGCTTTTGAACGGTTTCGGCATCTTGGAGAGCGCCGTGGGGGGCTCGAAGGGCGCTTGGATCCGTCTTGGGGCTGTCATATGGGCCTCTTGGGGGTATGTCGGAGGCTATCTTGACCCATCTTGAAGTAGCATGGGCCTTCTTGGAGGCCATCTTGCGACTTCGAAGCCCTCTTGGAGCAATCTTGGGCCATCTTGGACTCTCTAACGCCTCGGTAACCCCCCCCTTCCTGGCCCAGGGGAGGGGGTAGGGGGAGGGGTTTCAGTGGAAGAGAGAAGAAAAAACGCGTTATACCACCTAAGCCCAGAGGGCTGGTGGTATAACGCGAGTATCATGTATTTTTACTTGTCCCACGCCCCCCCTAGGATTTTTGAGAACCGTCCCAGGGCGTGATCAAAAATCCGGTTTTGGGCTCCCACCACCCCTCGCGCGGACAGCAACAGTTAACAGTAAGGACAGTAAGGAAGCAGAAAGCAGGACTAAAGTGGAAGCTGGAAGCTGCAATTGGAACAGGCAGCTGCAATCTTCACCCTCGCAGCCTGGTGGCCCCGCAAGGGGGCCGGCGGACCCTGCTGGCCTCCAGTGTGCCCTGATTTCTTGGGTTTCGATGGTTTTGTTATGGAAAGCGTGACGTTGCCACAACAAAAATCAACGGACGTCCTGAGGTCCCAGGGTTGGGTTTCTTCTGGAAGGTTTTTTTGTGGTCGAGCTGCTACTGTAGGGTGCATGGCGGCCTCTTGAAGACCTCTTGGGATCCGCCGGGCGCTTCTTGTGGGCTCGTGGGCTCGTGGGTGTCAGGACATCCCGGCGGCCCCGGATGCCCTCCTGGGCCGCCCTGGCAACCCTGGGGAAAATCTTGGAGAGGCCAATGGAGGCCTGTGGACACCCGGATCCTCGGCAGACGGGAGGAGGAGGGGGAGGAGGAGGAGGAGGAGGAGGGGGAGGAGGAGGAGGAAGAGGAGGAGGAGGAGGAGGAGGAGGAGGAGGGGGAATGCACGCCCAGCGCAGCAGCACTTGGGAGGGGGGGAGCCCTTGAAAGTTCATGGAGACCCTGCCAGACAACGCTCGGCACCCCACCTAATGATGATGCTGCTGCTGCTGATGGCGATGATGCTGATTCTGATGCTGATGCTGATGATCATGGTGATGATGCTGATGATGCTGCTGCTGATGATGCTGATGATGCTGATGATGATCTTGACGTTGCTGCTGACGATACTGCTGCTGGTACTCATGGCGGTGATGCTGCTGCTGATGATGTTAAGCATGATGATGACGACGATGATGATGGTGCTTACGTTGATGTTGATGTTGATGTTGATGCTCATGATGATGACGCTGATGAGGATGATGATACTCACGCTGATGATTATTCTGATGGTGATGATGATGACGAAGACGATGACGATGATGATGATGATAATGATGATGATGAAGATGATGATGATGATGAGGATGATGATGACGGTGATGCTGCTGGTGCTCATGATGATGGAGATGATGATGATGACGATGATGCTGATACTGATGCTGATGCTGAGGTGGATTATGCTGCTGCTGATAATGATGGTGATTGACGCTGATGATGATGCCGCTGCTGCTGCTGATTATGATGATGGTGGTGGTGGTGGTGGTGATGATGATGATGATGATGGTGGTGGTGGTGTTCATGATGATGATGACGATGATGATGATGCTGATGATGATGATGATGATGATGATGATGATGCTGGTGCTGCAGCGAGTGCTGATGATGATGATGAGGAGGAGGAGGAGAAAGAGGAGGAGCACAAAGAGTAGGAGGAGGAGGAGGGTGATGATGATGAGGGTGATAGATGATGGATGTGATGGATATGATGATTATGGTGGTGGTGTTGATACTGATTATACCGATGATGGCGATGACGATGACAATGACGATAACGATGACGATAATGATGATGATGAAGAAGAAGGAGAGGAATAATAGCATTGATAGTAATACTGATAATGATATTGATGCTTGTGGTAGTAGTTGTAGTAGTCGTGGTGGTAGCAGCAGCAGCAGCAGCAGCAGCAGCAGCAGCAGTAGTAGTAGTAGTAGTAGTAGTAGTAGTAGTCGTAGTCGTAGTCGTAGTCGTAGTAGTAGTAGTAGTAGTAGTATAGTAGTAGTAGTAGTAGTAGTAGTAGTAGTAGTAGTAGTAGTCGTAGTCGTAGTAGTAGTAGTAGTAGTAGTAGTAGTAGTTAGTAGTAGTAGTAGTAGTAGTAGTAGTAGTCGTAGTCGTAGTCGTAGTAGTAGTAGTAGTAGTAGTCGTAGTAGTAGTCGTAGTAGTAGTAGTAGTAGTAGTAGTAGTAGTAGTATAGTAGTAGTAGTAGTAGTAGTAGTAGTAGTAGTAGTAGTAGTAGTAGTAGTAGTAATAGTAGTAGTAGGTAGTAGTAGGAGGAGGAGGAGGAGGAGGAGGAGGAGGAGGAGGAGGAGGAGGAGGAGGAGGAGGAGTAGGAGTAGGAGTCGGAGTAGGAGTAGGAGTAGTAGTAGTAGTAGTAATAATATGAATAGTATTAATCTTACTCAGAGCCGTAGCAAGTAATACCAGTTCGGATAATGCGAGTACTAATCGTAATACTAACAGTAATGTCACGAATCTGGATATTTCTCATCAGTGCTAACACAAATAAGAGCACCAGGAACTATCACAGTCATAACATTAATAATAGTAGCAATACTAGTTTCACTAAACGTACTAGTACTACTTCTAATGCAATTATCAGTGTTAAGCATACTACGAATGATACTATGAAGAATAGCGGGGGGAGGAGGAAGAGGAGGAGGAGGAGGAGGAGGAGGACCAGTGTAAACCCAAGAGTCGTCAAAGATGTTGGAAGAAACCTTCCCTCCAAGCTCCATCTTCATAGGCCCTTACAACGGTTCATTTCCACTGAAGGAGCTGCCTCGTTGGAAGACAACCATCTGAAGACCCTGCAGCATGCCAAGACACTCTTTATTGGGATTCCAACGCCACGGATCAACCTGGCTGTTGCGACATAGCGGTCCTGAATCTTGCCAGAACGCCATTCCTGGGACTACAGCACAGCGAATCAACTCAACTGTTGACCCTCATAATTCGGAGTCTTTCCAACCCCCCATTTCTGGTACGCTGGTTAGGGGAATCCGTGAAACTCTTGTAAGATCAAAGAATCGAGTGCGCGCGGCGTTACTGCGAGAGCCACATTTCGAAAAGATCTCAGGCGAAACGTCCGGCCATCCCTAAAAACTTGCCCCGGGGTGCGACCGGGAGGGATTATTTAGAAAGGAAAGGATTGGAAGAGGAGGAGGAGGTGGAGGAGGAGGATGAGGAGGAGGATGAGAGAACTGAGAGGGAGAAGCAGGATGGAGGAGAAGAAGCACTGAGGGGTGGTGCAACAGCTCGACAGCCTCCGCCGCGGCCTGCCAGGACGCAGTGGAGGCTACGGCGGCGGGGGCGGCGGCCCTGGCGGCCACGGCGGGGGATACGCCGTGGGCTCCGGGGCCGGCCGGGGCGCGCGAGGCGGAGCGGGTGGCGGCGGCAGGAGGCTGGCCTGGCCCTGGGGGGGCGCTCCCTGCATATGTCCCAGACCCCCTTGCGTCGTGAAAGAATCACGACGGGAGGTTTGTTGCTATTTTCGGCCTTGGGGGGCCCTTGCCGGGCCTCGGAACCGTCAAAAAACGATTCAGGATGAAAAGCCGGTTCTGGGGAAGAAGTCCAGACCTGTGGGGGTCGACGTTGTGAAAAAATCACGACGTCGGGGGTCTGGGTAGGAGAGACCTGTCGCCAGAGTAACCTTTGTGGCTTGTATTCGGCAGCCTTGAGACGGGGGTCAGTGCAGGCGGGGTCAGCCAGGGCGCTGAACCTTGCAGGATCCTGTAATGCCAGGGCCGCATTGACCCGCGGGATCATGCAGGCTTCAACAGGATCTCGCAAGGCCTGACTGACCTGGGTTTGCACTGGCCCGTGTCAGTGCGTCCCCGAGGTACACTGGGGTCCCCAGATGACTGAACGCAATGCGGCAGCAGCGGCTTGCGCGCTCGGGTTTGGCCTTCCACTGCCCCCGAGAGTCGCGCATCAAGGGTCGCTCTTGCCTAGGGCCACTCTTGCGTGTAGCCGACCTCTCACCCTCACCCTCACCCTGTTTTTTCACGCTGGCCAGACTCAGCACGGAGGCTCGCTGCGTTCTGAGTGAATATGCGGCAGAATTCAGATAACGTAACCGACTTAGATTCGGTGGAGTACATTGGATTTCGGTGGGCGCAGCAATATATAACCAGGCAAGTAGAGAAAGTGGAACAGTGCAAAGGCTCGCTGAGGCATAATTGGAGTGTGCGCCCACAAAGCTCCTCCGGCTGCTCTGTCGTGCTCTGGTTGCGGCTTCTGTTGCGTCTGCCTCAAGTACGAGTCGCTCTCCTGTGGATGATATGTGGTGCAACTCAGACGGGGCCTGTCTCTGGCGGCCTCTCGATCCGAAGAAGCGGGTTCTGTGGGCGCTTGGAGGGGGTGGGGGTATCCCGAATCGGGCCCCGCTGGTTCAAGGGGGGGGGTTTCGACCGCCCACCCCAGGCCTGCGCCGGCGCCGGCGGCGGCCCTCCTGGGCCGGTCGGCGGCGGCGGGGAGCATCGACGAGGACGACGATTCAAGGGGGGGAGGGGGGGTTCGAACCCACCCTTCCTCGGGGCCAGCGCCAGCGCCGGCGACGGCCCGGCGGTGCCGGCGACGACGGCGACGACGACGACGACGGCGACGACGGCGACGACGACAGACAACGGCGACGACCACGACGACGACGGCGACGACGACGACGACGACAAGCAAGGACCACGACGGCGACGACGACGACGAAGACGACGACGACGACGACGGCGACGTCGTCGACGACGGGGACGACGGTTGCCACGACGGCTACGACGACGACGGCGACGACGGCGACGACGACGACGAAGACGGTGACGGCGACGACGAATACGACGACGAGCACGGCGACGTCGACGACGGCGACGACGGCGACGACGATGACGACGACAGTGACGACGACGACGGCGACGACGACGACGACGACAATCAAGACGACCACGACGGCGACGACGACGACGATGACGACGACAACGACGGAACGTCGTCGACGACGACGACGACTGCGACGACGGCGACGACGACGGCGACGACGGTGACGGGGGTCACGACGATGGTATCGACGACGACGAACACGACGTCGACGACGACAACGACGATGAAGACGACGACGGCGACGACGACGACAGACGGCGACGACGACAACGGTGGCGACGACGACGACGGCGACGACGACGACAACAACGACGACGAGCACGACGACGACGACGACGGCGAGGTGACGACGGCGACGATGACGAAGACCACGACGACGACGTGCACGACGACGACGACGAAGACCATGATGACGACAACGACAGCGACAACTACGACGGCGTCGACGATTGCGACGACGACTACAATGACGACGAGCACGACGACGACGACGTCGTCTACGAAGAAGTTAACGGTGACGACGACGAGCACGACGACGACGGCGACGATGACGACGACGACGAGAACGACGACGGCGACGACGGCAACGGCGACGACGACCAAGAGCACGACGATGACGGCGACGACGGCGACGATGTCGTCGGCAACGACGACGACGTCGGCGACGACGACGACGGCGACAGCGACGACGACGAGCGCGACGACGACGACGACAAATGTGACGGCCACGACGACGGCGACGGCAGCGACGACGACGACGTCGGCGACGGCGACGACGACGAAAACCACGACAATGACGACGACGACGACGGTGACGACGACGACGACGAAGACGACGACGGCGACATCGACGACGACGCCGACGCCGACGCCGACGACGACGACGGCGACGACGATGACGACGACGACGACGGCGACGACGACGACGACGTCTTCGACGGCAACGACGACGACGCCTAGCCTGGGAGGCACGCGACGCAAGGCGCATAATATTTCTATTTGAAGTCAGGGCCGTCATTACTCTGACATTCAGGGCCGATGACACAGGACTGTTAGGGACCTTGTCGTCAACGTCGTCGTCGTCGTCGGTGTCGTCTTCGTCGTGGCCATCGGCGCTGCCAGCCGCCGCTGTCGCGGTCGCCGGCGCTGGCGCGCCGGCGCCAGCGCGGCGTTCGGGGAGGGGGGGTGGGAGGGGGGAGGTGACCCCCCCTGGTTCTGTTTGACGGCGCCGAATGTTCAGGGGGTGGTCCCCGGTTCAAACGTGCCGCCGAATGTTCCCAGGCGAACGCCCGTGAAACGCGCCCCGTCCTCGATCCGCAGGCTAGGCGGAGTGCTCCTCCCGTCCTCTGCTCCTGCTCCTGCTCCTGCTTCTGGTTCTCCTCCTCCTCCTTCTCCTGTTCCTCCTCCTCCTCCCTCTCGTTTTTTTTCCCTACCTAGACTCTGCCTAGAAGGGTTCTTACTCTCTTAGCTTAAAGGGGCCGGGCAGTGCAAATCGCCCCGGGCGGTTCCCCCAGTCCCCGCCCCGCGGTTCCCCCCAGTCCCCTGGGAGCTTTAGCTTTAGCTTTAGCTTAGCTTTAGCTTAGCTTTAGCTTAGCTTGAGCTTAGCTTGAGCTTAGCTTTAGCTTAGCTTTAGCTTAGCTTTAGCTTAGCTTTAGCTTAGCTTTAGCTTAGCTTAGCTTAGCTTTAGCTTAGCTTAGCTTAGCTTTAGCTTAGCTTTAGCTTAGCTTTAGCTTAGCTTTAGCTTAGCTTTAGCTTAGCTTTAGCTTAGCTTTAGCTTAGCTTTAGCTTAGCTTTAGCTTAGCTTTAGCTTAGCTATAGCTTAGCTTTAGCTAGTAGCTTAGCTTTAGCTTAGCTTTAGCTTAGCTTTAGCTTAGCTTTAGCTTAGCTTTAGCTTAGCTTAGCCTTAGCTTTAGCTTAGCTTTAGCTTAGCTTTAGCTTAGCTTTAGCTTAGCTTTAGCTTAGCTTTAGCTTAGCTTTAGCTTAGCTTTAGCTTAGCTTTAGCTTAGCTTTAGCTTAGCTTTAGCTTAGCGTTACTGTTACTACTAATGCTGCTTTCCTAGGGGTTCCAACTCCTAGGTAGGGTCGCACTGGGATAATTTTGTTCCTCCTCCTCTTCCTCCTCCTCCTCCTCCTCCCGCTCATCCTCCTCCTTCCTCCCACAAGTGTTCCGCAAAGGGTGTCTACGACGGGTGAGCGCGCCATAAACAGGGTTGCCGAAGCGTGCGCACCCTGGTTACCCCGGCAACATGGCCAGGTGGCCGCTGGGGTGTGCCGAAGGGCTTCGCCTCCCAATCGGGTTGGGGAAAAAATCAAGACGAAACCGCGGAGGAACCTTCCACGGGCCCTCCGCAGATCCTGCCCTCGTCCGTTCGGGGTCGGCGCGCAAGTCTCTCAGGGTTGCGTGTTCTCCTCTGGCTTTTCCGCGGCCTCCTGGACCTACGCCACGCCTGCACCGCGTCTTCGTCTTCTGGCGCCCTCGTCGCCTCATCTGCTTTCCGGCGTCCACCTGGTCGCGTCCTCCTCCACCTCTTCTTCATTCTCCTCGACCTCCTGCTCTTCCTCCTCTTCTGCCTCTTCTTCTTCATCCTCCTCCTCTTCCTCCTCCTCCTCCTTCTCCATCTTTTTCCCTTACATATAGCCCCCCGCTGTCGCACCCCGAGACTTGTCGGTATTGTAGGGCGAGCTGGGCGTTTCGCCTGAGCTTTCCCCACCGTTTATGATCCTCAAACAGGAAAATTGGAAGAGTTTCGCGGATGCAAGGCGGACCGTTGTCAAAATGTGGTGTTCGCCGTAGCTCCGCGCACATTCGTTTTACAATATTTCAAATTTTCACGGATAGAGGGCGGGTCGTTTCCAGAATGTAGTTCTCGCCTTAGCGCCGCTCGCATTCACTTTAAACAATCCAAGATCCTCACAGGTGGAGGGCGGTTCCTTTTCAGACTGGTTTTCGCATGAGCGCCGCGCGCATTCGTCTGAATGTTTTGCGTTGCAAGAATTTCACGGATGGCTTGTGGCTCTTTCTCAATATGTGGCTCTCGGCTTAGCTCCGTGTGCACACGTTTTAAGAGTTTACAGCAAGTGGTGGTTGACTATTCAGAAATGGTGTTTTGGTACCATGTAGGAGTGTCAGCGCACAGCAGTCATTTTGATTCGCTGTGTGAAAGTCACAGGACTGGTGCTCTGACGCGATTCCGGATCGTCAAGACGCAACAGTGCATCGATTCGCGGACTTGAAATTCCAGGGATGGTGTTTTGGTGCGGCTCACGTGTTTCATACCATTGGCTTCCACAGGGCGCGTCGTTCAGTGAAAGGAAAGCCTTGTAGGGACCTACGAAGAGGGAGCTCGGAGGGAGGGCTTGTTGCGACATCGACGATCGGTCTTGGGTTTACACCGGTCCTCGTCGTCCTGTTCGTCCTCCTTCTCCTCCTCCTCCTCCTTCTCCTCCAGGGGGAGGGGGGGCAGGGGGGCACGGACCAAGGACGGAGGAGGGTTAGTTGAGCTATAGGCCTCCCCTGGGGGCGCGGAGATAGCCGCGCTTCGCGCGTCGCGGATGGGGCCGCGGAGCTCTGGCCTTCTCCAGGGAGCGGCCGCGAGGGCGCGAAGACGACCGCGCGTCGCGCATCGTGGGGCACGGTGCGCGCAGGTGGGGGGGGGGACCTGGGTCGAGGCAAGGGTGGCCGTCCCTGGCGCCTTTCGCCCCCGTCGGGCCTCCTGGAGGCCTCTCCTCGGCGCCACGGCCAGGTCCGCCTCCAAGGGTGGGTCGGGGGGGACCGTGGGGGTGGACCGCGGGAGGGGGATCCACGCGGGTGGACTTTGAGCGGGGCTGGGACGCCGGGAAAGCCGCCGCCGTTTCGCCGCCGCTGTCTCAAGCGGCACTCCTCCGATGGGGCGGGCTGGGCTGGCCGGGCCGTGGGGACCGGTCCACTTCGCAGTGACGATGCCGCCGTCGCTCCCCCACCCCTGAGGAGGAGGAGGAGGAGGAGGAGGAGGAGGAGGAGGAGGAGGAGGAGGAGGAGGAGGAGGAGGAGGAGGAGGAGGAGGGCTGCATGTAAGTACCAGTGCGCGTGCTACGGGCGCTACTACGATGGAGGAGTTGAATCAGCAGGATGTGTGATTTTGCCAAGTGTAATTTGATTCTAGTTTGGTTCAATAGGAATCGAATTGGAATCAGCTGGATCTGGAATCTCGTCGATTGCGAAGGCCTTACGGCCGATGCCGCCGACCCTGGAGACGACCCTGTCGTCTGGGCGCGCCAGCCCTCGCGGATCGGACGGTGGCTGCGAGGCGCTGTCGGACGTCGGAGGCGTTGAAAGCGCGCTTGCCGCGCTCGGGAAAGTGTCCCTCCTCCGTTCTGTGATGGGGAGGAGGAGGAACAGGCGGAGGAGGAGAACAAGGTCGAAGAGGAGGGAATACCCGGTTGTTTTGTAACTTCCTAGTTGGTTTTGTAGCTTCCTAGGAGAGTTTTTGGGGCCTCTCGGGAGCCTCTTGGGGCCTCTGTGGGCTTCCTGGAGGGCCTCTTGGGAGCTTTTCGGGGCTGAGGGCTCGAAATGTGCGTTCGGGTCCCCCGTCTGGGCGCTCTTTTGGAACCGTTTTGGGGGCCTTTTGTGAATCTTGGAGGCGTCTTGGGCCGTCTTGGGGCACTTTTGGGCCGTTTGGAGACCCTCTCGGAGGCCTCTTGGGCCGTGTCGGGGCGATCTTAGGAGCCTCTTGGGCCGTCTTGGCGCGTGGGGAAGCGGAAGAGGCGAAAACGCCAACAATCCTTGAAAAAGTACGGGAAATCAATGATTTGTACCTCTTGGGGCTCTCGTGGGAACGGTCCTGGAGGCCTCTTGGGGCGTCTCGCAGGCCTCTTGGGCCGTCTGGAGACCGTCGAGGCGTCTTGGACAGATCATTCGGCGATTCGGCGCCCTCTTGGATCGTCTTGGTGGCCTCTTTGGGCACTCTTGGCCCGTCTTGGGACTTCTTTAGGCTCCGGAATTCCCCGGGGGGGGCGGCGTAAAAACCCGGGACCCCCCCCGGGACCCACCCCGGGGGGCGGGTTAAAACCCGGGACCCCCCCCCGGGACCCCCCCCCCCCGGCGGGGAAGGGATCAAAGGGAAGGGGCTTCCCTTCGACTCAATTACGACGTTGCTCAATTTCGCCGAGGAGGGAACAGACCGTCAAGCCTCTTCCACACGCCGACAGGGTCGGCGGATTTTATTTGAATTTGACTAGATTCCATAGGAGTCCGATTTGACTCAACAGGATATGGGAACTTGTTTACTGTGCTTAGATTGTAAATGCGATTTCAGTAGGAAGCCGCTTGGAATCCTCTGGATTTGGAATCTTTTCAACTCAAAGTAGACTGTGTTTGAATGCGAATATGAAACGAACTGGAATCAACTGGATCTGGTATGGATTCAAGTTTCAATTATACTCCAATGAAATTCCAATAGGAATCCACTTGTAATCAGCTGGGTCTGGGATCGGGTTAGTTTTAATGAGACTGTATTTCGATTCAATCGGAACTCACGTGGAATCAGCTGTATCGGTTCTAGCCGTGTGAGCTCTGTGCAGGATCCCATAAAAACCGTGTACACTGTGTATAGGAACCCATAGAAGCCGTGTAAGCTCTGTATAGGATCGTCGCTTCGCCGGCCCGCACTAAGAAGTCAGCAGAGTGAGTACTTTTCGAGTGTTAATCTAGGGATATTTGTTATTCCCCCAGGCGCTGTTGTTGTTGTTGTTGTTGTTGTAGTTGTTGTTGTTGTTGTTGTTGTTGTTGTTGTTGTTGTTGTTGTTGTTGTTGAACATTATTACTTCTAAAGAATAATTATTGTTGGGACCCCTGGTGCACGACCCCCTCGCCGCGCCTAGGCCGCAGCCACGTTTTCATCATTTTCGTGAGGAAGTCTCAGGCAAAACGGGTTGGTCCGGATCCGGTTGTGTTGTTACGATCGGTTTTCCCTTGCAAAAAATAAGCTAAAGTGGACATTTCTTGTTCTAACATAACCAAACTTCAAGAATCCCTTGCAAAAAATAAGGTAAAGTGGACATTCGCGCGCGCAAGACGAAATCCTTCCAAAACCTTAGTTTTCGTAGCGATTTTAACATAAAAACATCAAAAAACCAATGGTTTTTCAAAAAAAAATGTCAAAATTTCATCCCGCGCGCTCTTGCGGATTCGTAGGAAACCCAACACTTTTTAAACATTTCTGTCAAACGGGCTTTTGCGAGCAACTTTTTCGAACTTCTGCAACAACGGTTGCGCACCTGCCAGGGCCATCATCCCTGTCAAATAATACCATGCGGGACACATTCGTTTTTTCTTCGCGCGCGCACGCCGTCGTCGTCGGCCGCGGGGCCCTGAATAGTAGCCACGGTCGTCCGCATGCCACGAAGTGAAGTGTCCGAACGTCATAGGGCGGGAAGCTGGGTGTGGGTGGTGGCGAAGAGTCGTTTGGAAATTTGGTAGAGCTTGAACCGGCCCCCCCACAAAGTGGGGGTATTGCCCGCCTCCTATGAAAACCCTGGCACTGGTGAGAACGGAGTGTCCCCACGTGCTAGTAATTGTTGTTGTTGTTGTTGTTGTTGTTGTTGTTGTTGTTGTTGTTGTTGTTGTTGTTGTTACGGTGGGGTGGTGGTGGTGCCCCCGGGAGCTGGGGAGGATACTTGCCCCCCATGAAGGACAGCTCCAGTCGGCCCCCGAGCCCCGGGGGCCAAGGAAGGTCCATATCCTCGTTGTTTTGTTCTTGAGGTTGTTGTTGTTGCTGTTGTTGTCGTTGACGATGATGCTGCTGCTGATGATGAGCTTCTGCTGCTGGTGCTGCTGATGATGATGCTGATGATGATGCTGATGCTGATGATGATGATGAAGATGTTGATGATGCTACTGTTGTTGATGATGGTGATTGAGACTGTTAAGATGATGATACTGATGATGAGGTTGCTGCTGATGATGCTGCTGATGATGATGCTGATTATGCGGCTGATGATGATTATGATGATGATGGTGATGATGATGCTGATGCTGATGCTGCTGATGATGATGATGATGGTGGTAGTGGTGGTGGCGGTGGTGACGATGCCGACGGGTACTATAGTGACGAGGGAGAGGGAGGGGTGTGAGGGTGGAGCGAGGGAGGGAGGGAGGGAGGGAGGGAGGGAGGGAGGAGGAGGAGGAGGAGGAGGAGGACGAGGAGGAAGAGGATCATGAGGGAGGAGGGATCATGATCAGGGTCAAAGCTCCGAATGAACCTCTTTTCAGGGCCATCTACCATATTGAAACAACGAGGCTCGGAGGAAAAGGCCCTAAAATGGGTTCAGGTCGGAGCGGGGTTGCCTCCATAGCTTTACGCCGGAGGGAGGAGGGAGGGTGGAAGGAGGAAGTAGGGGGGCGGGGTGTGAGAGTGGAGGGAGGGCCTGCGCTGCTGCTGCTGCCACGCCCACCACCGCCGCCCCGGGGCGAGCCCCGCGCGGGCGTAAGGCAGCAGCGCGAGGACGCTCAGGACCCAGACTACAACCGCAACATCCAGCAGTTCGCCCCGCGGCTGGCCCCCGAGGACCCAACGACGACGAAGACGAGGATGATGAAGACGACGACGAGGAATGATGATGCTGCTGCTGCTGCTGCTCATGATGCTCATGGTGATGATCATGATAATGGCCATGCTGATGTTGATTCATTGGCTGACGCCGCACCGCCGACCCCTTGGGGCGGCAGTAACAGTGAAAAACGTAGTTTGCGGAACGCGCGCGATTTCTAGGGAATCTTGGGGTTTCAGCTTTTTTGAGTTTCGTCGGGGTGGTTGGCAGATCGCGGCTCTGCTGGGCTTCTCTGGGCTCTCTTGGCAGCCTTTTTGAGGCCCCTTGGGAGCCGTTTTGAGGCCTCTAGGAGCCTCTTTTGGGCCTCTCGGGGGCCTCGTGGGAGCCTCTTGGGGGCCTATTGGCGCCTCCTCAGTTTTTTTCGGGGCTGAGTGCTCGAAATGTTCATTCGGGTTCCCCCTTCTGGGCCTCCTCTTGGGGCCGTCCTGGGGCCCTCTTGGGTCGTCTTGGAAGCTTCTGGGGCCGTCTTGGGGCCCTCTTGGGGGCCTCTTGGGCTATCTTGGGTCGATCTTAAAGGATTCTTGGGCCGTTGTGGGCCTCGTGAAAGCCCACAAGGCGAATGTGCTAAAAGTATACGTTTTCCTTTGGGAATGGGACGATGTTTGCTTCTGGAGGGCCTCTTGGTACGCCTCTTGGTGGCTTCTTGGGGCGTCTTGGGGGCCTCTGGGACCGTCTGGAGGCAATCTTGGGCGGAGCGATCTTTCGGCGACTCGTAGCCCTCTTGGACCGTCCGGGGGGCCTTTTGGGGCCTTCTTGGCCTGTTTTGGGGCCCCTTGAGGCTCCAAGGGTGCGGCCGGCACCTTTGCCCCCCCCCCCCCCCCTTCAAACCGGCCGGACCGGGCTCCCGGGGGAGGGGTTTGGGGAGGGGGAAGCATCTCACTTGCCGTGACCCCAAGGGGTCGGCGGATTATGTTGAGGATGATGCTGGTGATGACAATGCTGATACTGATTATGATGATGATGATGGTGATGATGATGATGATGATGATGGTGGTGACGGTGATGATGATGTTGATCATGATGTTGCCGATGATGATGATGATGATGATGATGATGATGATGATGATGATGATGATGATGATGATGATGATGACCACTAGGGTGATGACGATCACGATGATGATGCTGCTGCTGATGCTTACGCTGATGATGCTGATGATACTGATGCTGGTGCTGATGATACTGATGACGACGACGAAGACGACGACGATGACTATGATGATTATGCTGATTATGACGATGATGATGATGCTCATGATGATGCTCATGATAATGGTGGTGGTGGTGATGCTAATGATGGTTGTGATGATGATGGTGATGATGATGGTGTTGGTGGTGGTGATGATGATGATGATGATTATGATGATGATGATGGTGGTGGTGGTGGTGATGGTGATGATGATGATGATGATGCTGATGCTGCTGCTGATGATGATGATGGTGACGATGACGATGACGATGACGATGATGATGATGATGATGATGATGATGGCGATAATCATGATGATGATTATGATGATTATGATGATGATTATGATGATGATGATGCTGATGATGATGCAGATGCTGATGACGCTGATGATGATGATTAGGCGGACGATTTTATGATGTTGTTGGTGGTGATAACGATGCTGATGATGATGATGCTGACGCTGATGCTGCTGATGATGATGCTGATGCTGCTGCTGCTTATGATGACGCTGCTGCTGATGATGATGATGCGCATGATGATGATGATGATGATGATGATGATGATGATGATGATGATGATGCGCATGATGATGATGATGATGATGATGATGATGATGATGATGATGATGATGATCATGAGGATGATTATGATGATGATGATGATGATTATGGTGATGATGATGATGGTGGTGGTGGTGGTGGTGATGATGATGATGATGATTGTGATGATGATGATGATGGTGGTGGTGGTGGTGGTGGTGATGATGATTCCTATGCTACTGATGATGATGCTGATTCTGATGATGGTGACTATGATGATGATGATGCTGAATATTCGGATGTTGATGATGATGACGCTGACGATGATGATGATGATGATAATTATGATGATGATGATGATGATGATGATGATGATGATGATGATGATGATGATGATGATTATGATGATGATGATGATGATGATGATGATGATGATGGTGACGGTGATGATGATGTTGATCATGATGTTGCCATGATGTGCAGATGGTGCTGATGATGATGATGGTGGTGGTGGTGGTGGATGATGATTGATGATGATGAAATGATGATGATGATGATGATGATGATGATGATGATGATGATGATGATGATGGTGGTTGGTGGTGGTGGTGGATGGTGATGATGATGATGATGGTGATGGTGATGGTGATGATGGTGATGATGATGATGATGCTGATGCTGATGCTTAGGCTGATGCTGATGCTTGATGGTGATGATGATGATTCTGATGATGATGATGATGATGATGATGATGATTGATGGTGATGGTGATGGATGGTGATGGTGATGGTGATGTGATGGTGATGGTGATGGTGGTGTGATGATGATGATGATGCTGCTGCTGATGATGATGATGATGATTATGATGATGCTGGTGGTGGTGGTGGTGGTGATGGTGATGATGATGATGATGATGCTGATGCTGATGATGATGATGATGATGATGATGATGCTGATGCTGATGTGATGCTGATGATGCTGCTGATGATGATGATGGTGGTGGTGGTGGTGGTGATGATGATGATGATTGATGATGATGATGATGATGATGATGATGATGATGATGATGATGATGATGGTGATGATGTGATGATGATGATGATGATGATGATGCTGATGCTGATTGCTGATGATGAGATGATGGTGATGATGATCATGGTGATGGTCATGATGATGATGATGATGACGACGACGCGACGACGATGATGATGATGATGATGATGATGATGATGATGATGATGATGATGATGATGATGATGATGATGCTGGTGGTGGTGGTGGTGGTGGTTGTGGTGGTGGTGATGATGATGCGTCAGGAGGGGGATGAAGGACATCGCCAGTGCAGCAACAGAGGGGGCATCTGGGGGGGCTTCGGCTCCTCCCGTTCTTATACTCCCCTCCCTCCCCCTCTTCCTTCCCTCCCTTCCTCGCACCCTCCCCGGTGCGCGGTTGTATTTCTCACGGTGTTCCCATGTTATTATTTCTCTCTCTCTCTCTCTCTCTCCCTGTCCTCCCTCCTCCCTCCTCCCTCCTCCACCCTGCCTCCTCTTTCCTCCTCTCTTCTCCATCCTCCCTCCTTCCTCCTCTCCTCCTCCTCCTCCTCCCTCCTCTCCTCCTCCTCCCCCCCTCCGTCCTGCTCCCTCCTCCCTCCTCTTCTCCTCCCCCTCCTTCTTCTGCCCTGCCTCCTGCCTCCTGCCTTTTCCCTCCTCCCACCTCCCTCCTCTCTCCTCCCTCTTCTCTCCTCCCTCCTCCCTCCTCCCTCCCTCCTCCGTCCGAGGCCGGGGGATTGTGGAGTCCCTGTGGGTTTCAGACGATTTTTTACGATCTTTCACGTTGCTCCTCATCATTATTCTGATATTTCCTCTCTCGCTTTCTCTCTCTCTCTCTCAATCTCTCCCACTCCCATTCCCATTCCATTCCCATTCCCATTCCCAATACCATTACCATTACCATTCCCATCCCCATGCCCATTCACATTACCATTACCATTACCTTTACCTTTACCATTACCATTACCATTACCATTACCATTACCATGGCCATTACCGTTGCCATTGTCATTGCCATTGCCATTCCCATTGCCATTGCCATTGCCATTACCAGTGCCGTTGCCATTGCCATTGTACTGCTACTGCCAGTCGCCACCCCGTTACCATTACCATCACCGTTACCATTACCATTACCATTCCCATTACCATGAGCCACTACCATTACCATTGCCATTACCATTAGCATTACCAACACCATTGCCATTACCATTGCCATTACCATTACCATTACCATTACCATTACCATTACCATTACCATTACCATTACCATTACCATTACCATTACCATTACCATTACCATTACCATTACCATTACCATTACCATTACCATTACCATTACCATTATCGCTGCCATCACCATTACAATTCCCATTCCCATCACCATTGCCATTACCATTACCGTTACCAGTACCATTTCCATTATCATTACACTTACCATTGCCATTATCATTACCACTATCACTACCATTTCCATCTCCGTTCCCTTTCCAGTTACCACTACAATTCCCATTCCCATTACCATTATCATTACCATTACCATTACCATGACCATGACCATTGCCATTACCATTGCCATGGCCATTGCTATTGCCATTGCCATTGCCGTTGCCATTCCCATTGCCATTGCCATCGCCATTACCATTACCATTACCATTGCCATCGCCGTTGCCATTGCCATTGCCAGTCGCTACCCCGTTACTATTGCCATAACCATTACCATCACCGTTACCGTCACCATTACAATTCCCCGTACCATTACCATTACCACTGTCATTGCCATTACCATTACCATTACCATTGCCATTGCCATTGCCATTCGCCACTACCATTACCATTGCCATTCGCCAATACCATTACCATTACCATTACCATTACCATTACCATTACCATTGCCATTGCCATTGCCATTCGCCACTACCATTACCATTGCCAGTACCATTACCATTCCGATTCACATTCCCATTCCCAATACCAATACCATTACCATTACCATTACCATTACAACTGCCATTGCCATTACCATTACCATTACAATTACCTTCAACCTCTACCTTTACCTTTACCCTTACCCTTACCATTCCCATTTCCGTTACCACTACCACTGCCATTTCCATTCCCGTTCCCATTCCCATTCCCATTCCCATTCACATTCCCATTCCCGTTCCCATTCCCATTCA